AAAACATTTAAAAAAAAGAAATGCTGAACGAGCTCATTCCTTTTAATTTTCCAACTCCTGCTCTTTGCACCTTTCATTATAATACTTTCTCTTAATGTGCTGCACTTTTTTCAGCTTCTTTTTTAAAAAAAATAATTTCAATGAAAATTTAGAGACTTTGGATTTCCATTCATTCATTATTGCACTCTTCTCCCCTCCCAACCCTCCCCCCAATACACTACCCTCTTGGAAAAGTAAAAGAAAAATTTACAGTCCCTCCCCCCAGGTCCATTCCACTATGCAGCCTTTGCTCTGGACTCCCGTCATGACAAAAATACCTAATCACGTATCCCTTTTAAAGAGTTTTCTCCCTCATTTGTTTCAATGCCGTATACATTATTAAAACCATCTTTCTCAGTCTCCTCCCAACCCCAATGTCAGTTCTGTTTTACAACACTGGCACCATACAGTATTTGTCCTTTTGTGACTGCGATACTTCACTCAGCATAATGTCCTCCAGGGTCACCCATTTTGAACAATATTGCATAAGTTCCTTGTTTTTCAAAGCAGCACAGTATTCCATTCTGTGAATATACCAAAGCTTCTCTATTCATTCGTTTGTTGATGGGCACTTAGGTTGTCCCCAACTCCTTGCTGTTGTGAGCAAAGCTGTGATAAACATAGGTGTGCATATATCTGCTTGGGTCTCAGTTATGGTTCCTTTGGGGTATATTCCCAGTAGTAGAATTTCTGGGTCAAATGGTATCTCTATTTGCCACTTTCTGTGAAAGTGCCATACCACATTCCACAGTGGTTGCACCATTTTATACTTCCACCAACAGCGAAAAAGGGTTCCAGTTGCTTCACAACCTAGCCAGCATTTGTTGCTTGCTGTTCTGTCAAATTTTGCTATTCTGACTGAGGTGAGATGATATCTCATAGTTGTTTTGATTTGCATCTTTCTTAGAGCTAGGTATTTTGAACATTTCTTCATGTGCTTGTTGGCCATCTGAATGTCTTCTTAAGTGAAGTGTCTGTTCATATCCTGTGCCCTTATCTGATATATCATCACTAAATACTTTTTTGCCAGTCTGTGGGTTCTCTTTTTACCCTGGTGGATAAGTTTTCAGATGTTCATAAGGATTTGATTCTTAGAAGGTCCCATTCATCTATTTTATCTTCTCCTGACTGTAGGTTTTTCCGGATACTTGGAAGACTGTTTATATTGGGATTAGGACTTACAACATTTTTCCAAGCTTTTCTTTAATGAAGATTATAGTCCTTGTTTTTTGTCCTAGGTCCATGATCCACCTTGAGTTGGTTTTTGTATATGGAGTGAGGTGTGGATCTTGCTTGAGTCTTTTGCAGATACTTTTCCAATTTTGCCAGCACCACTTAATGACAATTGAAGTCTGTCATTTCTTCACTTAACTGATTTCATCTCCTTTTCAAAAATCAGTTGGCCATCGAAAGATGGGCTGATTTCTGGGTTCTCGATTCCATTCCATTGATCTATGTGTCTGTCATTGTACCAGTACCATGTTGTCTTAACCACTTGAAATCAGGGAGTGAAATGCCTCCTACTTTTCTTCTTTTTTTAAGGAGTGTTTTGCTTATTCAGGTCTTCTTTCCATTCCAAATGGAACTGGAGCTTGCCTTTTCCATCTCTTTGAAGAATGGGATTGGTATTTGTATTTGGATTGCATTGAATGTGTAAAATGCCTTTGGTAATATTGCCATTTTCACAATATTGAGTCTTCCTATCCATGAGCAAGGGATATTCTTCCACTTCTCCAGGTCTCTTTTTTTTCTTGTAATAATGTTTTGTACGTACATTGAGGTTCAATGTCAAGAAGACAAAGATTCTCACCACTGGACCAATTGGCAGCATCAGGATGGATGGTGAAGAGACTGAGATTGTATACAGTACTGAAGAGCAATGGTGTCTCTCTGGAGACTAAGGTGCATCTGATACAGGCCATGGTCTTCACAATCACTTGTTATGCATCAGAGAGCTGGAC